ATAAAAATATTTATTAAGCTAAATATTAAATTATGTAATATATTAAATTTTTATTTAAAATTTATGTTTAAAAATTTTTTAAAATTAAATTAAGACTTCCTTTTAAAACACTTTTTGGTACTTAATTTTTTATTTTTATATTTTTTATTATTTTAAAAATATATAAAAATATTTATTAAGCTAAATATTAAATTATGAAACATATTTTATTTATTTTTAATATATTAAAAGATCAAAAACCTACAGCTAGATGCTGATATTATCAAATTAAATCTAACTCTACTAAAATTGGACGAAAAGAATATTATATAATAAGTTAATTTCACATGAATTACAAAAAATAAAATAAAATAATAAAAAGAAATGTCCATCAAATTTCCCTTTTAGAATTTATATAGGACTTTTCAATATCCATCCAAATAGTACTAAATCATAAAATACAAATTATTGAATAGAGAAATAATTACTAATATTAAGGGTTTTACCCCGAATTCAATAATAAATACTATACATTAAATTACAGTTAAAATACATAACATTTTTTTATATTATTCCATCAATGAGGCTTAGAATTAGTAAGTCAAATATAGAGAATGGTAATGCCCAATTATTAATAGTTATCTGACAATTACTTCCTCTAGCATAAGAACAAAATTGTAGAGGAAAACCTGAAATTAATCCAGTATTCTGCTTGCCTTGAGTGACAATTTCAACTACATTCCTGCCTGCAGCCTCTAATTGATCTTCTACTAACTTCAAAACATGATCAGTAATATTAATATCCAACAGAGGCCTCACTTAAACAGAGGAAATTATATATGAATAGTGAAGGTTAGAGCTTCATTTCAACTCAATAGTTTCCTTTGCTGAGAACAGTGTAGGTTGGAAAACAAAGGCCTGGAACTGCTGCGGCAAATGGTTGATCTTTAAAGCCTTGAACCTGTTAGTTTTAGGATCATAAGAAACCAGAGCTTCGTACACAAAACAAGAGTTGTGAAAATTATATTAAACCTGGTTTCATTTTCGAAGATTTCCTTTACTGAGAACAGAGTATGTTGGACAGCAAAAGCTTGGAACTGCTGCGGGAGCCGGTTGATCTTTAGAGCCCTGAACCTGTTACTTTTAGGAACATAAGAAACCAGAACTTTCTTGTTACACTCCAATACAATCTCCCTGTTCTTCAGGACACAGAAAACTCTTATGAATCTTGCCACCCAGCTCGAAGAAAAATCTTCAATCACCATTCCGAGAGGAGCATTATGACACTTGTTACACTCTTAACACAATCTTTCCGTTTTTCAGAACTGATGAATTTCTAGGAAAAGGCAGACAAGCGGGTCTCATTGCCATACAACGGAAGTCATTCATGACGATATAAATAACACAATTGTTGCTGATTTACCGATAATCAAAGATTCAACACAAATTAAAAACAGCTAGTAGTAGTCTTACAGAAAAAAAGGTTGATTCAAGAGACAGAGTGAAAAGTTACAAATTCATAGTTGCCTGTGCTGAGAAAAGAGAAGGTAGAAATGGAAGTGCATGGAACGGATTGGATAACCCACTTATTTGAAGATTCTTGAATCTGTTCTCTACGGGATCATAAGAAACCAGAGAACTGCTATTATACAGCAACAGAATCTCACCATTCTTCAGTGCACATATAACTTTAGGAAATCTTCTTAGTAAGCCAGAAGCATTAGTTGGCCATCCACGTCGAAAATAGGGATCAAAGGAGAATTGTTTTACCCAAGATTCCTTAACATGGTATTGCTTCATCACCCAGATATCAAAATGCACAGTATCGACCAAACCAGCTGCCGATAGACACCCATTGAGCACGGAAAGACTGTAGCCACGTGACACAAGGCGTTGACAAGGTGGGTGCGGAATTTCTCTGAACACCTCATCTGCAAGGTCGAAGGAGATAATACCAAAGATAGGACCGACTCCTCCCATCCCAACAACAGTCACCCAATGGAGAGATCCTTCAACTAGAGTCTCAGGTGGTCCGATTTTATCCGTTAATTGTGGAGGCGGAGCTCCTTTGTATCTCCACTCAGTTGTTCGTACGGTAAACACCTGAACCATTGATTCATAGACGGTTGCGAATCCTTCATTCACTTCTTCCACAATTAGCTCCGGGTCTGCTACCATCCTGATCTTCCAGTAATACACAATCCTGACCACTTTGAATTCTCCTGTCCTCGGATGAAACCCAAATCCAAAAACTTCCCTTTGATTCCGAAATCGGTTCGCTGTTGGGACTCTCACAGCGTCTCCAACAAAGGGATTATAAACTAGCAGACTGTGAGACACCGATGAACCACCGATTATGAGAAAGGATAAGCATAACAGCCCGTTACAAGAACCCACCAGATTATAAACTTCCGAATGCTTTGGTGGGTCGATTTTTCTAACCCCTCTACTACAACCTTCACTATCCAAAAAATAGAGTCGCCGGGACACAGGGGAATTGTAGTTGAACAGAATCAGACATGGGTCTGAGTCGCTTACCCGATTACGGAACATCGGAGGGAGCCTTGGATCGGCGATTAAATTATAACCGGTATGGGAAGTGGTCTTGAATTGGATCAGAGAGGTGATCGGGAGTCTTGATAGGATTTCGAACAGCATCTCCGGTGGTAGACGATGAAGATCTCTCCGGATCATCGCTCTGCTGGAAGGATCATCTGCAAGGTTGATTCTTTTCTTCTCTCTTCCCTCTTCGGCATCCATGTTTGTGCGAAGCGAAAGGAAACGTGAATGATGGGAAACTTCGCCGGCATCTTAGATACAGCGTCGAAGCCACTATGGAAGATTGGAACTTTATTGGGCTAAAGCCGATCAACCTTCCTTTACTTTTTAATTTTGTTCGTTTTGATCCTCTTACTAAGGAATTGATTAGGATCGTCCTTCTACAGTCCCATTTGACCTCTTAAAGTTGTCCCCCTACTTTGCCAAAAAACGTTCATAGTCATCCTTATACTAACTTCATCGCTAAGTTTAGAGAAAAAATATATATATATATAAATTAATTAAGAATTACATTTTAAAAGTTCAAGGGTCTCAACTTCTCAAGAAATGTTCATAGTTGTTCTTATACTAACTTAGTTACTACGTTTAGAGAAAAAGTATGTGAAAATTAATTAAGAATTATAGTATAAATTTACATTTTTAAATGCATATGTAGATGCACTATGGCTTGCTATCAGTAATAAATAAATTTTAGTTATAGTTTAAAAATTAAGCATCGTTCCTGTAATGAAAAGTAATGAGAATATTTGACAAAATTTAAAAAGTATTCATTTAAAATTTTGTTAAAAGTCAATGAAAGTCAATGAGAGTATTTGACAAATTCTTCTCTTATAAATTTAAAATATTGTTAAAAGGAAACTCAAAAATTGGTATTTAAAGGCTAACTATTTAAGTAATTTAATAGTAATTTTTTTTAAATAAAAAATTTTGAATTTGAGTCATATGGTATGTGAGTGGAGTGAAGTAGAGTAATGAATGGAGATAGTTGATTCTCATTGAACAACCAAGATAAAAAAAAAATTGGCATTTAAAATGATATTGAAGCAAGTTTTGAAAAAGTTTTAGATCCAAACTTTTTTCCAAACTTACCTAAAAGCACTTTTAAAAGCTAATTTTTGATATTCTATTTAACAAAATTTCAAATTTATAAGAAAAAAAAATTTACTTTTTTAAGTTTTGTCAAATACCCTCAACATTATAATTTCCATATTTATTATGAATAAATTAATAAATGCGTTGTTTGCTTCTTATTATTATAGCCCTTCATATATTGATGGAAATTTCCTTGGTTCATTAATGATAGTTTGTTATTTAATTCATTGTTATATATATATTTTTTTGCCAATTTAATAATTTTTCATATAGGAGGAGCGAAATCATATATAGTTGATATAAACTTGGAATATCACTGTAATAGCCTTCTCTTATTTGACATATTACACTGTCAAATCGTTAATTTCTTAAGAACAAAATTGTAGACTGAGACCTGTCAACATTTTGTTCATCGTGAAGGAATCACAACTTCGAGTAACTGCAAAATAGAGGAAATTATATGTAATACCCAAGGATTTCTTACTTAAGATTTAAATAAATTATTTAAGCTCTTAGAAGGTGTATAAGTAATAAGATTAAATTTGGAGTTAAAATTATAATAAAGTGAGGAATTCAGGGACTAAACCTTATGTTAAAGCTTAGGGACTAAGTGGCAATGTTCTCTTTTGTGAAAAAGACTCAGAACAGATTAGTCGGCTGTTTCCAATTTGTTTATTCTGGGGAATCAGGAACGTCCTCTTCTCCTCGCTAGCAAGGGAACCCGCTCAAGAGATTCAGCCAAACCAAGGTTAATCAAAGGTAATTTGTTTCTTAAACTTAAATCTTGATGATTAGAAGAATGGAGAGAGGGGAATTTAAAAGGTTCTGTGGTAATTTGCTTATTAGGGACTCCTATATCACACAATTTCACACCAGAAGAGGGGAAAATAGGTGAAATATTTTGGAATGTGGGAATGAAGATAGTGGGTATTTGCCTAGTTGGTAGGGTTGATTTTACTTTAACTATTAGATTTTGGTATTGATATTAAATTGTAAATTTGGGTGGTGTGGTGTAAGAAATTTTCAAGGGAATTATTTATTTAGGTGTTTAGCTTAGAAGAGGGTGTGAAGGAATAGTTGGGTTTGAGGAATAGGACATCAGTGGCAAGGTTTAGAGAAATACTACATGAAAATATTTGAGAAGTATTAGGTAAATTTTTACTGGATGATTGAGTTACGTTTATTTGATATTCTTTTAGGGTTCAATTGATGGTATGGAGTTGCATTTTAAGAGATAATTATTGAGATAAGTAGTTTTACCCTCCAGTGTTTTTAAAGTAAATCGATGGATTTAAATGGGTTTTGTATAGTTTCAGTTTATTTATTTATTTCTTGGAGAATGATTTTTACTAAAATGCTTTTAATGATGGAATGAGATGATTTGTGGGCCAAGCATAACATTTTTATTCAAGTTTGAGATAAAATTATGGTCATATGGGGGTGGCTAATTTAAATTTGTTTTTCTCCAATATTATTGAAATGGTTACTTTTGGAATGATTTCTTTTGTTTGTCCTAGCGTACAATTAACCCTTGTGAGGGTTGAGTTATTGGTATTATGATAAACCCGGGATCTATGGATTATGATTTGTGGATTGTGGATTGTGGATTGTGGATTGTGGATTGTGGATTGATGATTGATGATTGATGATTGATGATTGAGTATCATTAATTGTGGATTGTGAATTGTTATACAGCCATAAGGGATGAAAAATGAAATATTTTGGTTTCGGGGAAAGAAGTATACTTTTATCGTATTGTCTTTAGTAAAAATTCAGTTATAAATATATTTTTATGTTTGGTTGTGATGGATGGATATACTACTTACGGAGTTCTTAAACTCACGTTTTCAGATTTCATCTCATTTCAGGTGAACAAGTATGAGCATTGGGATTTGCATGGGGATTGAGAGATCACTAGGATAAGTTAGCAGAAATTTAGCAATAGCTCAATTGGAAATTTATTTGGTTTTATGGAATAAGATGATAATTATTTTATGTTTTGGTTAAGAGATTTGATCTTGTTATTTGAAGACTATTAAGATATGTCAATGGAATTGTTTATTTTAAGTTGCCAGGTTACCTTAAAACTTTATAAGAAATTGTATTGTTATACTGGTAGATGGCCTTACATATTTATGAGGTTATCTTGTAGATGTGTAGTGTTTGTTATGCCCAAACTTATGGGTTGGGGCGTGACATTATATATTCATACACTAAGTAAGAATTGTGAAGATTATATTAAACCTTCATTTCGACGGTTTCCTTTCCTGAGAACAGAGTAGGCTGGAAAGCAAAAGCTTGGAACTGCTGCGGAAGCCTGTTGATCTTTAGAGCCTTGAACCTGTCAGTTTTAGGATCATAAGAAACCAGTGCTCTCCTGTTACACTCCAGCACAATCTCCCCATTCTTCGAGACACATAAAACCCTCAGGAATTTTCCCTTCCAGTCCGAAGCAAAATCTTCCTTCACCATTCCATTCTGCCCATCAAAGAAGAACAGAGGAACATAGTGGTTGATACAGTATTCTTTCTCCCAAGATTCCTTCATATTGTACTCCTTCATCAGCCAGATGTCCAGTCAGCCACCCTGGCCAGATCCAGCAACGGTGAGACACCCGTTAAGCTCAGAAAGATGATAACCAGAATAATAATCTTCAATACAATCAGGCAGAGGGATTTCCTTGAAAACCTCCTCCGCCAGCTCAAAGGAGATGACACAGTGGTGGTAGTCGAGGTATGGAACCGCCCAATGAAGAGACCCTTCCACCAGAGCCTCCGGTGGTTTTTATTCAAAGTTATACGGGGAAGCTCCCTTCTTCCTCCGTTCTGTTGTTCCAAGTTCCAACTATCAGAACCTGGACCTCCGACTTGTGGACAGTCACGGTTTCTCTTCGCCCTGTCATGATCAGCTCATAGGAGGCAATCCTGATGACTTTGAATTCTCTACTCCTTTGATGAAACCCAAATCCAAAGATTTCCCTTTCGTTCGCAAACCGATTTGGGACAGGCAACTCTATTGGATTTGAATCTGCAATGAAAGTATTACAAATCTGCCAAACATGAACTTGTTTCGAATGGTAATACTTAGGAATTGATATACATTTTTAATATACTTTTTTGCACATTTAAATGTACTTCGTATTAATTGCATAAAATTTACTTGCTAACATTTGTTTAATTAAATTTCAAAGATGATATAACTATCTATAATGTCTCATTTTCAATGATGATAATATAATGTTAAATAAATAAATGTATACAATATTTTTATAAAAGACGTCATATAATTACACTCTAAATAATTAATACAAGTGATCTTATTGTCACAATTTTTTATTTTAATTGACTATTATGCTTTTTAATTTATTAAAAAACAAAAAATGTAAAATTATAAGCAAAAAAATATAATATAAAAGATATAATAGACAATTATATTAAAAAATATAGTATTAACTATTTAAAGTATGATAATAACCCACCCAATTAACACACTAAATACTAAAATGCAGATATTTAGCAGGATTATGTATATTTTATCATTAAATTCAATTAATGCAACTTTCATAATTGATAATTACAAAGTACGCATGGAGAAGAGATTTGGGATGATATGCACCACCAAGACAAAGCATGAAACTCATGAGTTTGTCCTTTTATTAATGGATTTTATTTGATCTAGATCTCTTTTGTTTCGTGATGACATACACTACCTCTATGTTATTTATGTATTTATTTTGTTATAAAAATAATATAATTATAATGTTACACAATATTATAAGTTTTATAATTTGATCCTCAATCTTCTCAACTCATCTTTCCTTTTTTCTTTTCCTTCGTTTTTTCTACTTTTTCTTTCTTTATCCACCTTTCTCTTGTCGTTTCCTCTCTTTTATGCTTGAATAGATCTTGTAAATTAGGTCATGTGGAAAAAAGAAAAAGAAGAAAAAGGTTCACTTTGGTAAATGAGTTTAAATTACTTGCCAATTTGACAATTTCTTCATGCAAGAGAGAACATAATCATACATGGTGGTTCATAGAAACCTAAAATATCAGTGTAGTAGTCTTCCTTATTTTACAAATCACATCATCAATTCGTCAATTTCTTAAGAACAAAATTATAGAGTGAAACCTCTCAGTATTCAGTTAGGTGTGAGTGAGTCACAACTTCAAGTAACTACAAAACATGATCAATTAATCATTATATAAACAATGGAAGCCTGACTAAAGCAGAGGAAATTATATATCCGTATACTAAAGAACAGTTGTGAAGATTATTTCAAAGGTTTCCTTCACTGAGAATAAAGTATGCTGGAAAGCAAAAGCTTGGATCTACTACGGGAGCCGGTTGATCTTTAGAGCCTTGAACCTGTTAGTTTTGGGATCATAAGAAACCAGAGCTTTTTTTTGTTAAACTCCAACACAATCTTTCCGTTCTTCAGGACACATAAAACTTTACGAATCTTCCCACCCAGCTCGAAGCAAAATCTTCAATTACCATTCCAAGAGGAGCATTATGAGACTTGTTACACTCCAACACAATCTCCCTGTTCTTCAAAACTGCTTTTTGAGAAAAAGGCAGATAATTGTCAGCTGGATCTCATGCCATACAACAGAGGTCACCCATGATGATGTAAATAACACAACTATTACTGATGCATTGATGATCAAAGATTCAACACAAACTAAAAACTAGTAGTAGAGTCTTACAGAAAAAGGGTTGATTCAAGAGAGAGAGTTAAAGTTGCAAATTCATGGTTGCCTTTGCTGAGAAAAGAGAAGGTAGAAAAGGAAGTGCCTGGAACCAATTGGGTAACCCACTTATTTGAAGAGTCTTGATTCTGTTTTCCACAGGATCATAAGAAACCAGAGAACCGTCATCATTCTGCAACAGAATCTCACCATTCTTCAGTGCACATATAACTGTGAAAAAGTTTGGCCATCCAGGTCGAAAACAGGGATCAAAGGAGAATTGTTTTACCCAAGATTCCTCAACGCGGTATTGCTTCATCACCCAGATATCAAAATGCAAAGTATCATCAACCAACCCAGCTGCCGATAGGCATCCATTAAGCACGGAAAGACTGTAGCCACTTGACACAAATCGTTGACAAGGTGGGCGCGGAATTTCATCAAACACCTCATCTGCAAGCTCGAAGGAGATAATACCAAAGATAGTACCGTCTCCTTCCATCCCAACATCAGTCACCCAATGGAGAGATCCTTCAACTAGAGCCTCAGGTGGTCCAATTTCATCCGTCAATTGCGGAGGCGGAGCTCCTTTGTCTCTCCACTTTGTTTTTCCTACGGTAAACACCTGAACCATTGATTCAACATCCGATTCACCATCCACTTCTTCCACATCTAGCGCCGGGTCTACTACCGTCATGATCTTCTCGTAACACACAATCCTGACCACTTTGAATTCTCCTGTCCTCGGATGAAACCCAAATCCAAAAACTTCAATTTGATTCAGAAATCGCTTCGCTGGTGGGACTCTCACAGCGTTTCCAACAAAGGGATTGTAAATTAGCAGAGAGTGAGACTCCGAATAACTACCGATTATGGGAATGGATAAGCATAACAACCCGTTACAAGAACCCACCAGATTATCAACTTTTAAACGCCGTGGTGGGTCGATTTTCCTAACCCTTCTACTACAATCCTCACTACCCACAAAATAGAGTCGCCTGGGGACACGGAAATTGTAGTCGAACAGAATCAGACATGGGTTTGAGTCGCTTACCCGGTTGCGGAACATCAAAGGGAGTCCTGGATCGGCGATTAAATCAAAGCCGGCATGGGAAGTGGTCTTGAAGTGGATCAGAGAGGTGATCGGGAGTCTTGATAGGATTTCGAGCAGCATATCCAGTGGGAGATCATGAAGATCTCTCTGGACCATCTCTCTGTTGGAAGGATCATCTGCAAGTTTGACTCTTTTCTTCTGTCTTTCCTCTTCGGTATCCATGGTTAATCTCGATAGAATATGGATGGTAACTTCCTATGGAAGAAGATCCATCCCTTTTACAAGCAGATGTTCCGGTGGCGGGGTGGCTTTCTTCCTCTGGATTCCCTTCTTAGGACTCAAATGCATGGCTTTGAAGCTCTCAGTTTCTTTTGTTCAACCTGATGTGTGAACAAAACAAACAACATTAGGTGTCAGTTTCCGGTGTTGAACATTTTGTGTTACTCAACCTTTCAAGGAAATAAAAAAATAAAAAAATAAATAATAGAGATAAGAAATAGAAACGGCCCAAAGAAAGAAAAGAACGACGACAGTGTTAATTGAGTAGAACAATGCAATTAAAAAAGAACTCTTATTTATTTATTTATTATTATTTTTTTTTTATAACAGGGTGATAAGGGTGGGTTCCAACCCATCATAAGAAAGGGGAAGTGCACTCTCGGAGGATCATGTGCGAATTCTTATTTATTTTAAGGGTTGAGATTAATAATTTTTTATATAATATGTTAAATTTTTATTTAAAATTTTTATTTAAAAATATTAAAAAGTTAAATTAAGACTTCCTTTTGCAACACGTTTTGGTATTTAATTTTTAATTTTTATATTTTTTTTATTATTTTCAAAATATATTAAAATATTTATTAAAATAAATATTAAATATATAAAATATATTACATATATTTTTAAGATATTAAAAAAATTAAAAACCTACAACTACATGCTAATATTGCTAAATTAAATCTAACTCCACTAAAGTTCGGAAAGAATATTATATAACAAGTTAATTTCACGTGAATTACAAAAAAAAAAAGAAAAAAATGCCATCAAATTTCTCTTTTAAAATTTATATAAGAGTTTCCAATTATAATCCAAATAGTATTAAATTATAAAACATAAATTACTTAATGAAGAAATAATTACTAATATTAAGGGTTTCACCCCTATTCCAGTAATAAATATTATCCATTAAAATGCAATCTAAAATACACAATCCTTTTATTTCTATTATTCCATCAATGAGGCTTAAAACTAGTAGTTAAAATATAGAAAATAGTCAATGTCCAACTATTAATGGTTATATGACAATTACTTCATCTAGCATAAGAACAAAATTGTAGAGGGAAACCTGAAATTAATTCAGTATTCTGCTTGCCTCAAGTGAAAACTTCAACTACATTCCTACCTGCAGCCTCTAATCCATCTTCGACTAACTTCAAGACATGATCAGTAATATTAATATCCATCAGAAGCCTCACTTAAACAGAGCAAATTATATATGAGTAGTGAAGGTTAAAGCTCCATTTCAATCCAACGGTTTCCTTAGCCGAGAACAGTGTAGGTTGAAAAACAAAGGCTTGGAACTGCTGCGGCAAACGGTTGATCTTTAAAGCCTTGAACCTGTTAGTTTTAGGATCATAAGAAACCAAAGCTTTCTTGTTACACTCCAGCACAATCTCACCGTTCTTCAAGACACATAAAACCCTTAAGCATCTTCCCACCCAACTCGAAGCAAGATCTTGAATTAACATTCCTAGAGGAGCATTATTCTGCCCATCAAAGAAGAACAAAGGAACATAATTTATTGTAATACAGAATTCTTTCACCCAAGATTCCTTCACATTGTATTCCTTCATCACCCAGATGTCCAATTGGCTGCCTTGGATGAATCCAGCAACGGATAGACACCCATTAAGCACACAAAGATGATAACATGTAAAGTAAAATCCAGCACAAGGCAGTGGGATTTTCTGAAAAGCTTCCTCAGCCAACTCAAAGGAGATGATGCAGGGGTAGCCCAGGCTTGGAAGAGCCCAATGCAGAGACCCTTCCACCAGAGCCTCTGGTGTTTTTGGTTCAAATAGATATGGTGAAGCTCCCTTCTTCCTCCATTCTGTTGTTCCAATGGTAAACACCTGAATCTCTGATTTGTGGACAGTCACCATCGCTTCTTGCCCTTTCATGATCAAGGTCAGAGAACACAATTCTAATCACTTTGAATCCTCTACTCCTTGGATGAAATCCAAATCCAAAGATTTCCCTTTGGTTCATAAACCGATTGGGGATAGGCAACTCTATAGAATGAGAATCTCTAACAAAAGGATTGCAAATCTGCAACCCACGAACTTCCTTTGAACAGTAGTATTTGGGAATGGATATGCATAACAATCCATTACAACAACCCAACAAATTCAAGTTGGAAACTTTTCTCAAGGGATTGATTTTTCTTGCAGTATTGCTATACCCTTCATCCGGGACATTACTGTCCACAAAGTATAGTTGCTTGGGGGCAGATGGATCAAGGTTGGTCATGATCAGACATGGGTTAGCATCACTTACCCAGTTGAGGAACATGGCAGGGAGTCTCTGATCGGCAACTAAAGCACGGCCGGAAGAGGAAGTGATCTTGAACTGAGCAAGGGAGGTGATGGGTAGTCTCGATAGAATGTCGATGATCACTTCTGATGGAAGAAGATCCATCCATTTTCCAGACAGATCTTCCATTGGAGGCGTGGCTTTCTTCCTCTCACTTGCCTTCTCAGGATTCAGATCCATGGCTTTGAAGCTTGCAGGTATTGGAAGACGAAGAAGAAAAAAAAACCTGATAAGAACAAACAAAAGAAACATTAGAACTTGGAAATTCACAAGGAACTACAGACAAATGAAATAAACAATTTGAATGTGCATATCACAAATCATTTTCAGACTTTATATTATAAAGAATACAATTTCATTGGGTTCTGAAGGTCAAATCCTTGCAATTGTAATTTCAAGATTAGAGATAATGTTGAAGAGATTAGAAGATTTATAAATAATCAATTCCTTAAAAAAGAAGATTAAAAAAAGAATCAATTTCTAAAAGGGATGATGAAAATTATTATTTATTAGTTAAACTTGTAAAAATTAAATAAAAAATATTTTAAAATTATATTATTTTAATAAAAAATTATGAAAAAGAATTAAAACAATATTATTCTTATTTTAAAAAATAATCATTTTAATTTTTTTAAATGGTTAAAATGATATCATTTTGAAGTGTTTTTTTTTATCTAATTTTTTTAGAATTTTGATTAATAAACAATTTTTATGAAGAGGATTTCAAATTAATCAATTCCTAGGAAAGAAGTTTTTAAAAGATTGGGTCTTTGTCCAAGTCTTTTGCAATCCTGCCAGGGCGCGTTTCGCTCTTGTTTTGTAAAACCTCCTTTTGCTTGTTTTAATAGTATAATTTTCTAGATGGTTTAGAGAGCAAATTGGAAAATAGAAAAATGTTACACAAAATCTTATCCTCTTTATCTACGAACTCATTTAATATCACTTAACTATCCATCGTCAGACTCAAATGTGAAATAAAATTGTGTATATCAATGTTGAAACAAATTAACTTGAAATATAATAACAATCCATACAATTAAACTTACAAACTAAGAAAAAGAGGTCAAGGAAACATTATCAAGAAATTTCAAGTTCTGTTTCATCCTAGTTCATTCTTGCTTAAGAACAAGAAGACATGCCAATAAAAGGCTAACTGAGATCAACAAACAGTAGGTCATCAACACTTTTTCATATCAACTCATTTAACATCACTTAGTTATCTATCATCGCACTCAAATGTGAAATAAAATTGTCTATATCAATGTTGAAACAAACTAACTTGAAATATAATAACAATTCATACAAGGTTAAATACCTTTTTTGGTCCATTTACTATTGAAAAAAGCTTTTTTTTGGTCCTTATACCGAAAAAAGCTTTTTTTTGGTCCTTCCGAAAAAATCTTTTTTTTAGTCCTTCCGAAAAAATCCTTTTTTTAGTCCTTAAATTTTAAAATCTGGCCTCTTTTTAGTCTTCCGTTAAATTTTTGCTCATCTGGCACGTTAACTAACGAAAATTGCTTATGTGGATATTCCAATGTGTAAAAATGCTTGTGTGGACTTAATATGCCCTTCCATGTCACTCTCTTCGCGTGAAAAAAAAATTAGTTGATGGGATTCACATTCTATAATTCTCCTTTCTTTGTTTTTACACATTCTTTCAGATTCCTCCCTATCTTTAATATTCTCAATCGTTAAACTTAGGTAATGAATGAATCAAGTTACGAAGTTCATAGCAATAGCAACATGAACACAACAATATGAATCTATCCCCTACAATTTCAAAGCCATGTATCAAACACAATTTGGGTTTCGTAATCAACCTTGAACTTAACTTCTCTAATTCAAAAATGAATATGAAACTTTGGTTTCATCCGGCTCCATTATGGAATTTGGACACATTTAAAATGACAAAAAGGAAAAAAAAAAAAAAAAGAGGGTTTTTGGGTTCCTTGTGGAATCCAGGAGCCCAGATCTGGGTTCCACGTGGAACCCAAGATGATGAAAAGGAGGGGGAAGAGGATGGTGATTAGATGATGCCATGATGTCGAGGATGAGGATAAGGCTGACGATAAGGATGAGGAGAAAGAAGATGAAGAAAGAAGAAGAGGAAGAAATTAAAGCTAATTAAACTCATCTAATTCATTAATTAATAACTAAAATTTTTAATTTGTACATGTAGATAAAATATTTA